TCGCTCACAAGCCTGCATTAAAATGAGTCCAAAACATCTTGATCCGAATTATTTTACGGAAAACAAGAATAGAATACAAGTCATATAAGTCCGACACAAAATATTGAAATGGAGGAAAGAGAAGAACTCTTAAAATTACAACCAACAAAGCAGAACTTCGAAACTATTAAATTCTACAATGCAACACTCAAATAAATTCTGGATGAAGTAGACCAACATATAAGTCTAATCAAAGCAATATATGCATCAACAATAGCAGCAACTAAAAAATTAAACATCAAAGTATAAAAAAAGGAATCTCACAGACATGAAGATCCACCTTGGAAAAGAAAAATAGAGAGAGAAATTAAACAACTTAGAAGTGAGTTATCAGTACTCAATGAAGTGGCAAGAGGAACAAATATCAGGACTAGAAAAGGCAGACAATACAACTGAAGACTCAAAGAATGAAAAAAGATGATTCTTGTTGTGGATTCCGGGATGAAATCCGGTACCAATAAATAACAAACGCCAAGAATGAATATAGGAAAATAATATATTAATGTAATAATACAAACTGGTAATGCAGGTTAGTAGTTCAAGGAATACGGGTTAGTAGCAAAATATCTATACAGTCTTTGGTATTGAAGTATCGCTGTATGACTTTTTATTGAGTTTACGTGCTCGATCACGGTGACTCTTGATCGCTACGTGCGTTCTGTCTGTCTGTCTGTCACCTTCACCCTCTGTTGCTCTCGACTCTCGGGTCTTCACGTAGCAGTAGTATATGTATATACTGGGTGAGTCCATTTGTGTACAAAGGAGAGAACGCCTCAACAATTCTGCAGACAGAACAAGATCTTTCAACCCGATGCGAAGAAATTTTACAGAGAAATAGGCAAACAAAAAATTGAAGTGACAACCCTGCCAAAAATGGAAGCGGTTATGCAGTTCTGGGAAAAAAAATATGGGTTTGCCTTAAAGTACATAAGAAAGAAGCAGATTGGATAAACATAATTGGATAGGAACGGTGGAGAGATGAAAACTTCAGATATCTTAATACTACCGTAATTCCCTATGTATAATACGCATTTTTTTCTATAAATAATAAGCAAAATCAGGGGTGCGTATTATACATAGCTACAAAAAAATGCCGTTTCATAGGTCGATTTTAGTTGCGAAATGACTACTCACCACAAAGATATGAAAATTTGACACTAATATTCGGCGATTGTGACCCCATAAGGATATTAAATATAATCATATGTACCTAACAATACTTACATATGTAAAATAAAATAAGAATTATCATAAAACTAAATTAGAATAATATTATTCTATGTTTAAAACCATTTTTAATAAGAGTAGGAAACGCTGGCCGTAATGAAATTGGAGAGGTACAATTTATAGGGTTTGATTACCAAACACGGGGTGCGTATTATGCAGGAGTAGAAGCATTTTTCCACACTTTCAGCACAATTTTAGGGGTACGTATTATGGATGAAGGCGTATTATACATGTGGAATTAAGGTAAGTCTGATCACTCAGATAATTTCCAATTGTCCGTTGATATAAAAAAGACATGCAATTTGCTGTTATATGGGGGGTAAAGAATGTCTTGTTAATTTAAACGCTTCCAAGGCGAAACTCTTCACCATCTTTGAGAGACCTCTTTCTGCCTTCCATCAATATGACTGATGCTAACCTACAGAACAATGACTCGTTGCGCTTTCTCGGGCTAACATTTTCCGCTGGCATAAAGTGGAAAGATTATATTGAATCCATTGCTAGGTCTGCTGTGTCAGGCTAGACAATTTTTCTCTCCAGAATCCATCTTATATAAATTTATAAGTCTTACCATTCCTCCATGTATCGAATATTGCTGCCACATTTGGCCCGGTTGCTCCTGGAATACATTTAGAGATTCTTGATAAAATCAAAAGAAGAATCTGCAATGCTGACCTGCAATGCTGACCTGGCATTTCGACTTCAGTAACTTTACCACCGCTATAATGAAGCCTCTGTATATCTTTTCTATAAATACTTTCCCGGTAATTGTTCTGAGAGTCCGATACTATTGGTGTTAAAAGCTAACAAATACTACAGTGGAGGGCCCCGAAGTACTTGGGATTCTTGCTGAAACTTGATGTCAACTGAAAACCATCTGATTCTATTGGTGACCTTTTAAGCGTAGCTTAGATGTGGCAGTCGCTGTAAGAGAGTTCTGGAATACATGAAATGTAGCTACGTGCAATCTGTCCAGGCCAAGGTTAAAAAGAAACAAATTGGATCCCGCAAATTCTGTAAGATCACCAACCAAATTATGTACAGAAGCAGAGCGGCTGGGCTCACTATTATAAATGTCTTCGAGGTCATATCCTCCTCGACAGACAAGGCGAAGCTCTTACTTCGATCTTTGCCTCAAACTCAACGTGAGAAGACAAAGGCCACCCCCTCCCCAACATGTCACGTCTCACTGAGCACAATCTCAGTAATATATTCATTTCAGCTTGAGAAGTCTCTAGACAAAGCCTCCACCCTAACTGGCCCAGACAAAATTCCAGTGGTTGTCTATAAGAACATCAACCCAGAATTATCCGCGATCCTAACGAAGTTATTCACACGCTGCTTGAAGGTTTAGTTTATTTTGGTTTGGTTTGTCTTACGGCATATCAACCGCAATTGGTTGTTTAATGCCGATAAGATTTTTATTGCTGATAATATTTTTTTCTTCAAAAATATATTCCTGGTAATGTTTTTTTTTTGGTAAATGTACTGCTGATAATAATCTTTTCCCAAAACTTTAATACTCGTATTGAAACCTATTTGTTTTAAGGTCAAAAAGGTAGACATGGGTACGGTTTACATTACACTCAAAAAGGTAGACATGGGTACGGTGTAAATTACATTCAAAAAGATAGACATGGGTACGGTTGACATTAAAGTCAGAAAGGTAGACATGGGTACGGTTTACAATAAAAGAAAAAGGTAGACATGTGTACGGTGTACATTAAAGCAAAAACGGTGTACATGGGTACGGTTTACTTTAAATTTAAAAAGGTGGACATGGATACGGTTGACATTAAAGTGAAAAGGTAGACATGGGTACGGTTTACATTAAAGTAAAAACGGTGGACATGGGTCCGGTTCACATTAAAGTGAAAAAGGTAGACATGGGTACGGTATACGTTAAAGTGAAAAAGGTAGACATGGGTAAGGTTTACATTAAATGGAAAAGGTAGACATGGGTACGGTATACGTTAAAGTGAAAAAGGCAGACATGGGCGCGGTTTACATTAAATTAAAAAAGGTGGACATGGGTACGGTTTATATTAAAGTAAAAAAAAGTGTAGACATGGGTATAGTTTACATTAAAGTAAAAACGGTGGACATAGGTGCGGTTTACATTAAAGTCAGAAATGTAGATATGGGTACGGTTTACATTGAATTTAAAAAAGTAGACATGGATAAGGTTTACATTAAATGAAAAAGGTAGACATGAGTACGGTTTACATTAAATTTGAAAAGCTGGACATGGGTAAGGTTTACATTAAAGTCAAAAGGAGGGACATAGTTCAGACTGGAATCAATAAGGGGAACATTGGTTCGATTTATAACCGTGTTTGCAAGAATCCAATAAGAAGATGACACTTTTGCAGGGAATGTATGTTCTCACTCTCACCGATAGGGAAAACACCCAACGATGGTAGAAGAAAAGAAAGGCTAAGATTTTGTTATTGTAACAACTCACATTGGAATATTAATCTTTATAGATTAATGCATAAGGACAATCCCCTAAGAAATTCAAAAGGAACATTGCAGAATTTTGTCAATTGCGGCCGGCACCTGATGAAGGTTGGAAGATACAACGGCTAAACCATTGTGACTATAATAACCAAGATGGGGACACTAATCTAAATAAATTAACGTATAACAATGTTTTCGCATCTTTGAAATTCTATCAGAATCTAAAACTCTATAGTGCATCCTTAGACGCTAACAATTGTAATGTACACAAAGTCCATTGTATGTGTGTGCGCGCATGCGCTTGTGTACGAGCGTGACTGTTTGAGAGAGAGAGAGAGAGAGAGAGAGAGAGAGAGAGTTTTCTTTTTCCTTCTCCTCCTTTTTTATTAACTACTTTTACCGTTATATAACAATAATAACTATATTCCCACGGGTTGAAATTTTATGAGGTTGCTTCAGTGCGTGTTTAAAAGAAAGCAATGGCTTTACTTTTGTTCTTTTTTTTTCTTTTTCGCTCCACGTGTCTATAAACATTTCTAGGATTTTTTCTCAGGCTTCTGAAAAAAAAATATCAAAGAGCTATCAGAATTGGTCGTCAAAGAGTCGGAAGGCAAACAGAAATATTGTATTGATAAATACAACGACAATAAAAAAAAAAAAACAGAAAATTGTTTTGAAAAAATAATAGAAAAAAAAAAGATGTGAATTAGAGAAAATGTTTGACAGAAAAAGGAAAGAAGGAGGAGGAGAAGGCGGAGGAGGAGGAGAAGATGAAGTAATAAAAAGTATGAGTAGAAACAATGTAGAAAATTATTTACTTTGAAAGAGAAAGAGATAATGTAGGAAAAAGCAAGAAGAAGGGACTAAAAGTGTGAGAAAGAGAAAAGAAAAGAAAAGGGAAAAGGTTGAAAAGAAGGTAAAGGATGCCGTTAAAATAGCAGGAAATATTAAAGAAAGAAAGAAAGAACGAAAGAAAGCAAAAAGAAAAAGAAAGAAAGGATATAATTAGAGTAGAAAATGATTATAAGAATAAAAAGAAAATATTACAAAGAAAGGAAAACGAAGACAAATTACAAAGACAGAAAGAAAGAACGAAAGAAAAAAAAAACGAAAGAGAAGATAATATTAAAATGGGAAATTATGAGAAGAATAAAAAGAAAGGAAATCAGAAAAAAACAAAGAAAAAAAAATAAAAACGAAAGAACGAAAGAAATAAAGAAGGGAAAAGAAAGAAAAGATAATATTAAAATAAGATTAAAAAGAAAGTAATCAAATTACAAAGAAAGCAAGCAAGCAAGAAAGAAGACAGACAGAAAGAAAGAATGAAAGAAAGAAAGAAAGAAATAAGAAACAGAAGTAAAGAAAAAGGAAAAAGAAAGAAAAAGGAAAAACGAATGAAAAATGTAGGAAAGAAAGAAAGACAGTTTGAATAAAGAATCGCAATAAAAGATGATGAAATTAGCATTACATGAAAGAAAGAAAGAAAGAAAGAATGAATGAAAGAAAGAAAGAAAGAAAGAAAGAATGAATGAAAGAAAGAAAGAAAGAATGAATGAATGAAAGAAAGAAAGAAAGAATGAGTGAAAGAAAGAATGAAAGAAAGAAAGAATGAAAGAAAGAAGAAACAGAAGTAAAGAAAAAGGAAAAAGAAAGAAAAAGGAATGAAAAATGTAGGGAAGAAAGAAAGACAGTTTGAATAAAGAATCGCAATAAAAGATGATGAAATAAGCATTACATGAAAGAAAGAAAGAAAGAAAGAAAGAAAGAAACAAAGGAAGAAAGAAAGAAAGAAAGAAAGAAAGGAAGAAAGAAAGAAAGAAAGGAAGAAAGAAAGAAAGAATGAAATAATGCAGAAGAGTAGAAAGCAAGAGTGCAAGAAAAAGAAAGAAAGAGAAAAGAAAGAAGGAATAAGGTAAACGGTGAAGCTAGAATGACATATGAGTAGAACATAAATAAAGAAAGATGTAAAAGATGTGAAAGATGTAAAAGATGTAAAAGACAAAGAGGAAAGAGAAGTCAAAGGATGACATTAGAATAACGTTTAAAACTGCGAATTAGGTAAGGAAGAAAAAAGAAAGAAAGAAAGAAAGAAAGAAGGAAGGAAAGAAAGAAAGAAAGGAAGGAATATGGTAAAAAATAGAGAAAAAGTTTATATGATTAGAAAGAAAGAAAGAAAACGGAAAGATAATGTAAAATATAGAAAAATTATATGATTAAAAAAGAAAGAAAGAAAGAAAAAAGAAAGACGGAAGGAAAGACAAAACAAAGAAAAAGGAAAAATAATATAAAATAGAGAAAAATGATTATATGATTCAAAATAAAGAAAGAAAGAAAGAAAGAAAGAAAGAAAAAGAAAAGAAAGAAAATATGAAATATAGAAAACTATTATAAGATAAAAAAGAAAGAAAAAGAAAAGAGAAAGAAAAAAGAAAGAAAATATTTTATAAAATATAGAAAACTATTATATGATTAAAAAGAAAGAAAGAAAAAAGAAAAGGGAAATAAATAAATAAATAAATCAAGAAAGAACGAAAGAAAGAAAGAAAGAAAGAAAGAAAGAAAGAAAGAAGGAAAAAGGAAAAATAATAAAAAATAGAAAAGAAATTATATGTTTAAAAAGAAAGGAAGAATTGCGGGATTTGGCAAAAGATAAAAAGAACCGATTTAAAAAACAAAGAAAGAAAAATAGAAAGAAAGAACGAGAAAGAAAGAACGAGAAAGAAAGAAAGCAGACGATAAAAACATCTTAGTAAGGAACATAAATACGAAAGTAAATAAATAAAAACGAAAAATAAATTATTTACAAAAAAAAAAAAAAGAAAAGTTCGATATAATATTGAATCGAATTTCAGATGAAAATAACAAATAAATAAACGTAGCAAGAACTTGAAATAAAACAAGCAGGTTGTGGGAAAATCTATAGAAAATGAATCCAGGAATATAAATAATGGAGGGAAAAAAATGAAGTGATGTGTTTTATTGGCCAGTCGCCTTTTGTCGGTTATGTTTATGGAAATGCAAAGGTCGGTCTTAATGTGACGCTTCGACACGCTCTATCTCTTACTTCAGAACCGTCGAATTAGCTCCAGTGAGGCATGACATCTTTATTACACTTGGGTAAGAGGGCGCGTCGAATATGTATTTCGTCACTGGAAGAGAGAGCGTAACCAAAATTCCATGCTGTGGTGAACTGTGTCAGACCAAATTTAGACACAAATCATATAAAGTCGGGAATCAAGCAACGTTAAGTCACACTACAAACAGGGACTACCCAGGGGAATCAAGTCACCAGGATGGACACAAAGTCTAAAGTTCAAGTTTAGGAATCAGTTACGATTATGTCTGTTCTTCTATATATATATATATATATATATATATATATATATATATATATATATATATATATATATATATATATGATTTCTCCGATTTAATCGGCAGAAGACAATATTTATGAATAAAAATGACAATAGGAAAACTGGTAATTGATGACGCGTTTCGTCCAATGTGGACTTTATCAAAGCAAAATACGAAAATGAAATTAAATGAACAAAGTAACTAATAAAAACAAAAACAGAATGTACCTAGCAACTGGAATGTAGAGAAACGCTATTTTCATATTTTTTAACTGAGAAATAACGTCAGTGATTGTCACGTGTGGAGAATATTGTCATTATATCTGTGTTGATGTATTCAACCATTTTCTTTCGATTTTATGAATCTGTTGTGCATATTTGTTTGTAAGAGCATTAATTTTGTCAAGAAAGGTGAAATAGGGAAAAAGCCTGGGCGTAAATTAATATTTGGGTAATTTTCTATGGCGGCACTCTCCAGAATTTTCCTTCTGAGTGAGTTATTTTCTTTTTTTATGAGTGTAGCATTTTTTAAATCAAAATTATGGTTGTATTTATTTCTATGTATGACTATTGCATTAGCTAAGTTGTTTCTTGTGAGGTCTCTTTTGTGCTCATAAATGCGTTTTTTCAAACTTCTACTTGTTTCTCCAATATATTGGGAGGAACAGTTTTGGCAATCAACACATGAATACATGAGCAGATATGAATGTACGTGAGAGATTCATGGAAGATTGAAGTTTAAATACAGTAAATTCTACCTTGTAAACCGAACCCTCCTCTGTGGCCAAATCGGTAAACGCACGTCAAGCTAAATGACGGTTCCGTATAGGGTACAGGTTCAAATCCTGTCGGAGGACGAATATTTTCGGTGAAAATTTCTCGGATATTCAGGCCGGTAAATGTTGTTTAATACTGTTTATTATAAACAGAGCATTTACTTAAATATTTGTATCTATAAAAAAATGTATAAACATAAAAATGTCTTAATATATATATATATATGTGTGTGTGTGTAAAAGAAGAGAGAAACCGCAAGCGTTTTTCGTTATAATGTGGCTTTTTATAAAAAAAACATATTATACTTTATTTTCCATAATTTTGCTACACAGGTTTCCGGGCTCGCGACCTTCATCAGGTAAAGCGTGGAGATTTCCACATATTATTAAAAATAATTAATTTTTTTTTTTTATGTTTTTCGATGTTAAATATTCTCGATATGAGACATTCTCTTTTTTTGTGTGTTAGTGATCCAGATGTGTTTCTTGAACTGGCAGTAAAAAGTTCTGCGTGAAGGGTTATAAAACAATTAGGATTGGTCCGAGAAATGGTGAAGGAGTTATCAGCCTTCTTATATTTTAATGACCCCTGTATGTTCTTAGATCTATTTCCATTTTCTTGTGTTTTTGTCATGAAATGGATTAAGTCTGACAATTATTTAATATATTTTCTCTTTATACGTAATTTTTATAGATACAATTTATTTAAGTAAATGCTCTGTTTTTAAGTAAACGGTATTAATTACATTTAACGGACTGTTTGAGAAATTTCGTAGAAAATATGCGTTTTTCGATCGGAATCGAATCGGTATTCCTAAACAGAAAACGTTATTGGATCTAATGTGCTTTACTAATGAGCTACAGAGAAGAGATTCATACATATATATATATATATATATATATATATATATATATATATATATATAATGTTATATTCCATTTTCCATTATATGAGGTCTGATCAAAAAGTATCGGAATTATCGCTATGAAAAGAAAACTATAACATATATCAATTCGAAATTTAATCACCTACGAAGTAGTCCTCTTTGGAAGTCACAGATTTTATCCAATGTCAATTCCATTGATGCAAACATTCATGTGTCCTTTTTGGGGGGATAGCGAGCAGTTGCTTAGTCGCCTTCTTTTGCATTATCTCACCGTCTTGAAATTTTGTTCTTTATAAGTTGAATTTGATTTTTGAACATGAAAATGTCACAAAGGGCGAGATCTAGGGAATATGTTGATTGTTTGACGTGTGGAATATTGTGCTTTGCCAAAAACTGTTGCACAAGTCATGGTCACTGATGAAACCTCTTTGTTGTGGTAAGACGACCACATTCTACACACTTTCCTTCCAAGTACTGCTATAAACAAGAAAAGTGAGCGAGAAAATCATAACTTAGTGTGTATGCGTGACGGAGTTCAAGGTCAATGTGTGCCAAGCGACTCCATTCTGCGGACATTATATCCGTTACCATAGGAATAGTCCAGATACTTTTTGATCAGACCTCGTAAGTTCGAAAACGATATATATATATATATATATATATATATATATATATATATATATATATATATATATATATATGTGTGTGTGTGTGTGTGTGTGTGTGTGTGTGTGTGTGTGTGTATAAAAATATATAGAAAATAGGAAAGAATTCGTTAGGTAAATAATCCCAAAATTTCGCTTGAAGTGGAACAGAGCTTAGTACTTTAATTCAATTTAATTCAAATAATTTTTCGGCTCTGGCTTTGAAGCATGAGAACTCTTATGTAGCGTTGGATTCATATTTTTAAATAAGTAATTATATATATATATATATATATATATATATATATATATATATATATATATATATATATATTGTGTATTTAGGCAGCAATCTTTCTTTCATGCAAGCTTCATTAAATACTACAGACAAGGTGCTTTAAGTTTTTCATATAATTTCTCAAAACATCATATAGTTTTTTTCAGTGGATAAATTATACAAAAACTGTTCAAATGTTATATTTTTCTGAGCGCTTTCGACTATACATTTAGCCATTTTCAGCTTTTGCATAAAAAAATGCGCTATCGATTAATGCGTTTTCTATTCATATGCTAAAATTTTTATACACCAAAATTCGATTAGTGCATAAATTTCATAGTGTAAGCCGATAATAAAAATGCATATTTGGATATTTGGCTCTAGTAAGAAAATTTTATTATTTTAGTTTGGGATTTTTTGTGTATTATATATTTTAGATAAGCGAAGGTTATGAATTTAACCATTTTTCTTTTAACTTTTTTTTCATTTTTTAACATTTTTAGAGTCATGCATGGAGGCCTGGGAAAGAAGTAATTCTTTCAGGAAATACATATTTGAATATTTGTCTCTGGTAAAATCTTTTATTATTTTAGTAACCATTTTATTCTTTCCATTTTTAACATTTTATAGTCATGTATGGAGGCCTGGGAAAGAAGTAATTCTTTCAGGAAATACATATTTGAATATTTGTCTCTGGTAAAATCTTTTATTATTTTAGTAACCATTTTATTCTTTTCATTTTTTAACATTTTTATAGTCATGTATGGAGGCCTGGGAAAGAAGTAATTCTTTCAGGAAATACATATTTGAATATTTGTCTCTGGTAAAATCTTTTATTATTTTAGTAACCATTTTATTCTTTTCATTTTTTACCATTTTTATAGTCATGTATGGAGACCTGGGAAAGAAGTAATTCTTTCAGGAAATACATATTTGAATATTTGTCTCTGGTAAAATCTTTTATTATTTTAGTAACCATTTTATTCTTTTCATTTTTTAACATTTTTATAGTCATGTATGGAGGCCTGGGAAAGAAGCAATTCTTTCAGGAAATACATATTTGAATATTTGTCTGTGGTAAAATCTTATA